CCCCCCCCCTCCTTTGGCGCAAATTATTATGACCTTATGCAGTTTTGCGAGCGCCGTAAAACCTCTTCTAAAACTAAACGATCTTGTCATTTAAACTAATAGGCTCTGCGCTGTCGCGCGCACTAAACATGAGTTCCAATCCTGTCTGACGCTTGAGGATGTAATTTTATCGGGGATTTCCGTCTTTCTTCCGAGATGCCTTATCCTTCTCAGGTCCAGATGAATGACCTAAACTGTATCGCAAGTGACCGAAACGTATAGGCCCTACAATCAATTAATTAAGCATTCACTTGTGACATTTAAGACTCCTGACCATTGTTAGACCTTGCCTTATCTGTATTCTGTGCTCATTACCATTTGTTCACTTGATAATAGATGGATTCTTTAGACAATACAATAAGTTACAACAGTGTCCGGTTTTTTTTTCTGTGTTCATTTAGTGTGCTGAAATTATATTCAGTCTTCTCTTCGCAAAACTTTTCGACTACCTGCCTTTCTCTTTCGTGTTTCGTTTGTCTCTTACTCATAGTGAAGTTGTATCTTCATTGAGGTGGGAAAAATAGCACTGAGATAAGAAAACAAAAGAATTCATTCAAAGAAAGAGTCCATCCATTGGCGTCCTGGTGTTGGTTACCAAGGTAAACAATACCGTCACTAGCCGGCCCCTGTGGGGGGTTTCCTGACGAGATCCTCGGGAAGCGCGCGAAAAGCACGCTTTGTCGTCTGCTGGCTAAAAAAATGTCAAGCCTTTCTCTTCGTCATAACATCACACCGCCGAGACAACAGGGAAGGGAGAGAGGAGAAGGCGTAGATCTACCACAATGTAACTGTTGTTGTTTGGTCTGCTTTGTGAACGTTGTGCGAACTACAATGGCGGGCCCTGGCGAGCGAGAAGTGGCGCAGTTGTTGTTTTGGCTGAAAACTGGCGGAGATTTGAGTATAAAAACTTGGGGTCGTCACCAAATGAGGAGTTTCGTGTGTGCTGAGTTAAGTAGATCTGATCTATCTTTGCTCATTTTGGTGGTGTGCTTGTTCTTTTCGTTTCTTATTTCCTCGGCAATATGCGAGTCTACTTTGTACTAGCCGGTGAGTATGGTCATATTCATATTATAATTAAATAACATATTAAGCTGTGGGGCGCAGGTGGTGGTGGTGATGGTGATGATGATGATGATGATGATGTGTGCATATTGTGTATTGTGTAACTGTATACGTGCGTCCGTGCGTACGTGAGCGAGTGCGTGTGCCTTGTGTGTGTGTGTGTGT